CTACTAAAGTAGTAGTAGGTATCTGCCTGTTTCGGGAGACAATAGAATTATGGCAAGTGAGACAGCAGCTCACTGAAGTTAATCTTCGCTTGAAAGATAAAGCAAAGCTGGAGTGATGTCTCCAGGGCACAAAAGCCTGGTCAGTGTATGTGGAGACACTGAGCTGCCCGCACATCAGTGTCCCCTTCTCAGCCTTGCTGGTTTAATCCAAAGGAAAGGTAGGAGCCAGTACGTTTGGAACCAGCTTGGCTGCAGAAGCTGCTGGAGCAAAGGGACAGTGAAAACACTTCATTTATTTCCCTGTTAGATAAGCAAGAGGAAGATAGAGCATAAATAAGCTCCTCAAACCAACAAGAAAATAAAAGAATTAGATAGCACTCTAGCTGAGCTTCAGCCACACTTTGGGTTCACATACCCACCATCTGTGCACCACACTGTGAAAAGCTGCAGATTTCCCCCTAAAAACAGGGAATCCTGCTGAACCCCCCAACTTCAAAACTCATGAGCCAGCCCCACCTCACCTCCAAGTCAACTTAAAAAAATTGCAATTATTTTTAAAACATGCTTTCATATGCCTTCTCAGTTTCATCTTCTTTAAAGATCTTGCCCACAATCACTAAAAATAAGATGGATTTTTTAATGTAATCATAGGACTCCATCAACAGAAACTTTAAAGCCGGGGGAGCCCATGAAAATAGGTAGATAATACAAGAGGCAAGGAAAAAAAAGTCATAAGGATGCCAATATGGTTTATATGGCAGGGTGAAATTTTGGACCGTTATTTTAATCCTTCCCCCAAAACTGCATATCTGGGCCAAATGAAAAATTTTGTAAATTCGCATGCCATTTCATGGAAAACAACAATTGAGCAGCAATTATCCATGCAGCTCTAATTGCTTTGTCTATGGATTATTCACTAATGAAAGAAGACTCCCCCCTTGTGCAGTCTTGAGGTCCCTCTGTTCCCTGAGTAAAGGCTCCTGAAAGTTTTACCGTTGACTTAATTAACTCCAGACTTCCACCCCACGCCCCTTTCTCATCATGTTCTAGCAGGTGATGCAGCTGTTCAGCATTCAGGTTATCAGGACTCCAGGTTTCCTTCCACTGAATTCAGTGACAGTTTTGCCATCTGCCACAAAAAAAGCAGAAGCAGGCCCAAGTCACTGACTTTTCTCTCCCCCCTCCCCCCACCCCCATCTACGACTTTGAGGGAGAAAAAAAAAAAGACAACAATGAATGGCCAAGTAAAGTGTGAGCACATTGAGACTTAGCAGTAACTGGCGACAGACTCTGCTGCAATCGGTTCTGCATGTGGCATGACACAGAGAGAAGATGGTGATGGGCAAAAAAGTCATCCACCAGGAAGGGTCTGTTAATTACTTGATACTAGTATCTGTGCTTGCAGGGAGAGTAAAGGGAGTAGGGGTGGAAGAATGTGGGAGCAGGCTACTCTGCAGGTTGTAAACAGTCAAAACTAATGACACTTCAGGTTTGGTCTAGGTAAAATGGAGGAACAGTTCAGGGTTATATCCAGTTTAACATTAATCCTAAAAGTTAATGACTTCTGTAAAAATAGAACTGTTTTCATTTATTATTCAAGAGGCATTGTGGCATTTTAAATTTGGCTTAACAATCAAATGCAAACCTCCTTTTGAAATTTAAAAAAATTGTACCCCATAACCAAAGGAAGTAGGAGAAGAGGATCATTACCCACAGAACACAAAAAGGCAAAGATGCTTCAGTTTCAAACACAAACCAATGTGGCTTCTTGCTGAAGCGCCAGCTCACGGGGTCCTGTTAACAACAACACTACAAATAAATTTAAACACTCAGTTTAACCCCCAATTAATTACAGATCCCCAGGGGAGGTTAGGTTAAAGTGGGTTTATGTAAAGCCTGCTCTTCTAAAAGCGGCACAACATTTCCATGTGACTTTTAAAGAGCGATCCCAGCATTTAAAGTATAAAACAGATATTGGAATGAGGCCTCTCATCAGAACTGTAAATTAAAGCAGTAATTTAAAACCCAAGGCAGAGGGCCCTGAGGTTCTCTGATCAGTTTCTCCTCAATGTGACACTGCATCACTAAAATGGCAACAGGGCTGCCTGGTTGACAGGCAGCACCAAACATGGAGAACATGGCACCAGATCAGGGGGACATAAACTTGGACGGCAAGGTTAGCAACCAATGTTTACAAACATCAAACAGAGGATCAGATGGGCCAGCAATAAATTATGACTGGATTGCAGCAAGCAAGAGAAACCTCTTAAAATAAAAAACAAAGAGGCTTTATATGCTACCTTCAGTTTTATTTCAATCCCTAACCCCGCACAAACACACACACACTTGCATCACATCAGCACTGAAG